TGGGATGGGCCCTGAATTGAAAGAGAAGTGGTTGGAAGGGGTCAGAAGACACTGGAAAGGGCCTCCGCAGATTAATAAGAGCAAATTTCATGATTTGCTTCTTTGGATTACTTTAGTGTATTACTAATTATTACCAAGTTCACATTTTTAGGTACTACTTCCAAATTGTAACAACTCACATTAGCTGCACACAGCTATGGTTTTGTGGTGTGTAGACCGTGGTGAACTTGCATACTGTGAGGGCCTTTTATTCTGAGATTATGTCCTTTCTACTTTTAAGTTTCATGTTCTTTTAAGTTGAAATGATGGTGATGGGTAGTAGGGTAATTTGAAGTCCATTCATTAGAAAATAAAAGTTGGCCACCTTAGTGGTCCTCCAATTTTAGCTTTAATTTTATTGGCCCCCACTGTCCACACATCTGGAAGCTGATGCCCAGGTGACACATAATCCAGTCTCTAAACTTTCATCCGTCCCACAGACATCCAGTGGATGGCTGCTGAACACAAGGTGAACGGGAAGCCTTCCTTGGACTCAGAGAGCTTGTGGCCTTTGAGTCACACATTAGTAGTGTATTACCACGGAGGCTGCGATGCCATTGACTCGGATGGTGACAGGTGGTAAGAGAGAGAGGTGGAGAGAACATGGGGGTCCCAGCCCACCACAGGGTCCCTGACTCTTCTTACTACTTACAGAAATGGCCTAACTCATGATTAAATATTGGAGCCCTTGGGGAAATAAAATCCACTACAACAAACACCTCATTGCTGCAAAATCTGTATGTCAGAAAGTAAAATGAAAAAAGAGAACTGAGTTTAGAACAGGAGTAGAGGTAAAATATTCCCAGATACCAAGATTTATAACTGTATGTGGAAGGAAGTAGATGTAGACTTTAAAAAGACATTTATTAAGCAATTGCTGGGTTAAGGACACACACAGGAAAGAAAACTGGTGCCTGATTTCATAAGACAGGTACATGAGAGCTATAGTAAACTCTTTAATATTCACAAAGACCTTAAACAAAGAATCACAAATGAAAATATTATTAGAGACATGACACATTGTAACAACACAAACTGACCAAGCAGTAAATTCTATACATACTTAGAATACAGGGGGTATCAGTGAAACGGGACCGTGTGGTCAGGATATATTTATATGAACAAATACTCTCTGGTATGCTAAACCTATAGTGCTAAAAGTGAAAAGTATAAATAGTTGTGTTGCTTGAGCTAGAGAAATGTTTGTATTTAACATATTAAAATCACAAAACATTTTCCAAACTGTCTTCCCAAATACTATCTCTGGGCCTGGAGGGGGGACAGGAGAGAGGAGTTCTGGGAAGGACATTTGTAAACATTTTGGTGAATTTACGTGAGGCATGTTTTTTGAGGGCTTTAATGGTTTGCCAGTCTTGAGAGTAGTTGACAGTCCCTTGAGCAAAGTCTGCACTCTGTCACAGCATAAAGTGCTCATTGGAATTCCTGCAGATATCCAGGTAATTGGGAGGGACATCAGCATGACATTTTTTTATTTTTTTTTTAAACAAAATGGCTAGCCTCCAACACCGTGCAAGGATTTGTGTTCAAAAGAAAAAGCACAAAACAAGGCTCATCCAAACTCTCTCCCTCACTTGCTTCAAACTTAGAATATTGCCAAGAATGAACATGACCGAGCTTATTTAATGTGAATAAATGGAAGATGTGTGCTTAAAGCAGTTAATGTTTGCCACCAGCACAGTGCTTCCTGTTGATTTTGACTTGCAGTTCATTCTCTGGATAAAAAAAATGTTTGTGTTATAAATTCACTGAATTAATGCGGGGCACTGGCTAGTGTTGCAATTTAAATTGCAAGGAAATCATAGGAGGACCATTAGATAATGCAATAAAACGTTGACTGCAAAGAAATGGCTTCCAAAGTCTGGCCAGACACTAGGAGTGTTTCTAAATCTCATTGTCACAAAACTGCCAATTTTAAATAATTCATGGCAAAGAATGTTTTCTTTAATGCAATTATTAAAAAGTTCTTGTATAACAGTCCCTTCCAATAATGAAAAGAATGCAAGCCTTGATTTTGTGACAGTGTAAGGTGTGGTGAGAGGAGCCTCATTGCTGAGGACCAGGGAAATGGAAATACAGATTAAAAAAGAAGCCAGTCCTTTACTTTCCATACATTAATAAAGCATGCTGTGAGTGTAATTACCACTAGCAGACACACTGGCTGCATCTACAAGTTTGACTGGTTTGTGTAGGAAAGGCCCATTTTAAATTTATTCTGAACCAAATACACAACAAAACAGGGATATGAACAACCCCTTGAGATACTGGAGAACAGTTTGATCCAGTGTCAACTGGAGATGTTTACTTCAAAACTTAATATATTTATCAGTTACCTCTTGCAACATAACACACAAGTGAATAGCTCATTAAAGAGCTTAGAACATATCAGGCACATACTAAGGTCCGTGAAATGACTTTTACAAACAGTTTTCCTCAGTGTAAATTCCTTTTTTCCCTGAGTCTTAAACGATTTATGGACTACAAGGATACAAAGAAGTTACAAACAGTAAAAATGCAGTGATGTAAAAGCACAAATTAAAAACTCCTTTCTCTAACTGCATCCTCTGAGTCCCAGATTAATGTCAGTGAAGGACAACAGTGGTCCTTGCTGTGTAAACTATTCCCTGTGAACCCACAAGAAAAGGGGGCCCATTGAATAGGTAAGCAACTAATTCACAGTTTTTCTCCAAGGCAATCAACTGAGTGATGGAAATCAAACCTTTTTTGCCTGTTTTCTCTCAAGTAGAATGTATTTGTAGACGAAAATGTTACGTTTTCAGGAGGCTGAATTACCTCTTTGGGATTTGCTGGACTCTGTTTAGGAGAATAATGCTGAATGACCTAATTAGTATCGTATGGGCTTGAATAAATCAGTGTACTTAAAAAAATATTGATGCACCCCCAGAATTAACTGAATAATTAATTTGCTAAAGCTCTGCATTTAGACTAAATCGACTGAGCAGTTTTAGTGTCAGAATAGATTTCGGAAATATTTCTCTAGAGAAACCATTCTAATTATGATTATGTTTTCATGTTTCTAAAATAAAGTGAATCAATTACTTCAGAAAAATAATTGTTGCTTTTGGTGGGGGGGGATCAATCATGGCAGTAATTTCCCTAAGTGGTTCAATCAGTTTCATAGTTGAACCAATAATTTTGAGTAGGAATTGCATATATAACTTAGTATTGCACAGGACGATGAAGAAATCATTTTTGGAATAATATATTTAATATGCTTCTCAGTTATATGTGGAATCTAATAAACAAAATAGACTGAGGAACAAAACAGATCCAGAGACATAGAAGCATGGAACAGACTGAGGAATCTCAGTGGGAAGGCAGGGGTGGGTGGGTAGGTGGGTGGGGAGAGATTAACCAAAGAATTTATATGCATATGTGCATAACCCACGGACACAGGCAATAGTGTAGTGAAGGCCTGGGGGCAGGGAGTGGGTGCGGGAAGGGAGGGGCTAGTGGGGGAAGAAGGGGATATCTGTAAATTTTCAGCAATAAAGATAAATTTTTAAAAGTATGCAAAGAGTTGACTATACAAGGAATTTTAGATTTATAACCAACATGTACAGTATTCAGTTGAAGGTATGTAATAATTCATCATTATGATTAAGAAGGAGACTGGAAAAGCAAGTAAACATATCTATCAGACAAGCAGTGGGATGTAAACAGCAAAAGTAATTTGGAGACAGAACATGGCATAGGCATTTTGAAATGAATAGCTATAAGATTAAAGAAGTTTTGAATATTGCTAAGCAGTAGCATTTAAGGGATTCTGAATTTTTCACCACTGGAAAAAATTTTATGTTCGTGAAGTTCCTGTACGCTTTCCAGAGTAAGTTATAAATTACTCCTTTATTCACAAAGCCTTATGGTTGGTTTAAATAGTTTTGTTAAGCCAAATAAGGCAGTTTGTGATTTTCTATAATTTTTATAAAGTCTCATTTCCTGAATATTAACACACATAATTGCACCTAATTTAAAAATGCATCTTATATTTCACATCCATTTCCTTCCAAGCATGACTAGGACATTTAGGTGTGATTTGGGGGATTCATCATGCTAGAACTCTGTGATGCTTATTTTGCAATAAAAACATTTCAGGAAATGAGTATTAATTGTTAAACATTTTATAAGATTAACAACATTGGTATTAATTGTTAAACATTTTATAAAAGTAACAACAATTTTACATATACTCTAGAGATGAACTATCCAATATAGTAACAACTAGCCACATTTGGCCACTGAATATTTGAAGAACTGAATTTTTAATTTCCATCAATTTTAAATTAAAAAGCTTATAGTAGTTTTAGTTATTGGAAAACTTCTACATATGTTCGAACAACTGAGGTTTATGAATCTACTTTCTCACCTGCAAATTTTATGAAATCTAAATACAGCAAGTATTACTGATGAAAACTTAATGTCCAAATTAAGATTCACTGTAAATGTAAAAAACAAAGCAGATTTCAAAGACTCTGGATTAAAAAAAGAATGCAAAATTCTCCTGAATAATTTTTATATTGATTACTTCAGTACCTTGCATTATATTTATCTTGGACAGTGCTGATCTAGAGCTATATGAAAACTGCTAGTTTTACAAAGTCACTTTAAAATTTTAAATTTTAATGTCATTCTCTTGATCAAATTTTTTTTATCATTATGAAAAAGTAAATCAGATTACGTATTTATCCGGTAGGAAGTGCCCTAATTTCCCTCTCTGCAGCTTCTCCCTTCTCCAGGTTGCAAAGCCCTTGCTAGCACCAGCGGCTGAATGCAAAATCACAGGCAGCGAATATGCAGAAATCCTGTATGAGAGCCTTGGTGACCCTGCCATCAAATTAAACCTCTCACACACCACAACTTCTACCTTCTCTTTCCCCTCGACTGTTTCCAGACCTATCTGTCCCCAGTTCCAAAGCCACCCTTCAGCTTCCTCCCAAGTCCTGCTGTGCTGTGGCTTCCAGGGTGGAATAATAAGCGATGACCTTGCTCAGCGAGGTGCTTGCCCTTGTGTTAATACTGGATTCTGTCCAGGCCCGAGAGCTCTCCTCCTTCAGGGTGGACAGCTTCCTCTGGGAGAAAGCTTCAAACCCCAGGAGTCTGAACACGGCCACGCGGTACTTCTTGGACATGATGTTGTAGAGAATGGGGTTGATGGCGGCGCTGAGGTAGAAGAGCACAAAGGACACCAGGTTGCAGTACTGGCTGATCTGGGCAATCTCCAGGGAGCCGGGCTCGAAGGACTTGGAGAAGAGGTACCGCCCCACGTGGAAGGGCAGCCAGCAGAGGATGAACGCCAACACCACCACAGCTAAACAGCAAGGGAGAGGGAGCGTCAGTTCAGCAACCGCAGAGGACAGCGCGCTGCGTTTGGAAGACCTGGTTTTGTCTGGGGTACGCGGGGGGCGACCGGCGACTTCAGAGACACACTGCGCTCTGCCCTTTTCCCATCCCTGCACCTGCGCCAAGACCGAGTCTGCCTGGATCAACGGGGTAACCGGTTTTACGGAGCTTCCCAGTCATTTCTCTTTAAAAACTTTCTGAGCGACTTTGGGGTTGGACGGACACATTGACTCAACTGACTAGACCGTTTGTTCACAGCAGTCCACCATTTACGTGTGTTAGACACAGCCAGGCACACGTGTGTTAGACACAGCCAGGCACACGTGAGGTGGAGGGGTTGAACTCAGCTGGAGCTATGGGTCAGCGTCCCCTGGGGCACAGATTCCTTGGATGCAGTAGAGACTCATTAAATTAAAATCTCTAGTTAGGAGACCCAGACACCTGCTTTTTTTCTTTTTGAGGTTTCACAGAGGACCGAATTTGCAGTCAGGATTGAGAACTGCTGGGGTGGACGATTCTTTGACATAAGTAAGGCATAAAAGCCCATAAAACCAACTAACATTAATTAGCATCCATCCAGGTCTTCATATTGCCCATTTTTTTCAAGACCTCTGCATTTCTAGATTATGTTTTTTAAAATTCAGAAATCAGAGGAAAACTAACAGAAGATATTGACTATAGTCTCCAAGTCATAAAGAGTGCAGATCATAGTTCTACAAAAGCAAGTAGAATTAATATTTTGCTTGGAGGCGAAGACATTCTGTATTTCTTCACTTGTACCAAACACATATACTGAAAGAGCTGAGTTCACACAGTACATATTCAGCAGACTCCGCTGTGACTCTGCACACAAATGTCCTCTGAAGGACCATTTGGGGAGGGGCAGTAAGGCCTCTCAGCTTCCACAAAGTCTCCTTTCTCATGCTGGAAGCCTGCCTGTCCTAGCTTAGCCTTGATTATCGCAGCTTTTCTACCTGGAAAGACAGGTAATCATGAAAAGAAATGGAGACACTGGCATTGATTTGTCACTGACTTCCTCACAACGCTGTACAAACAGAAGCAGGATAAACAGAATTGATTCAATTATTTGATTGGAAAAAATGCAGAGCGCCAAGCAAATCACAACATTGAAAGAAAAATGAGTCATCTGGGACAGAACTATCCGAATTGATCATATGTTTGGTTAAATTTACCGCTGAATATTTCCTAGGCTTAATGCCTGTTCCTCTTAGCGAAACTTAGATATCCACAAATTCTATGTGAGGAGGGGGCTTAAGCTCACCTTTAACATTTAAAGGCCACAATTGATTTTTAGAAATATCTCAGTTTTGATGCAAAGTTTCTGGACTGATATAAAAGGCATTTTAGGGAAATATAGGAGTGGGGCATTTTTCCGTGGAAGAGAGAAAGGAAAGCCAGGAAGAAAGACACAAAAAGATAGAGACCTAAAGAGAGTCAAGACTGTGACAAAGTTGGGAGGGGGGCGGAGATGGCAGGAGAGAGGACGAAGGAAGGAAGGAAGGAAGGAAGGAAGGAAGGAAGGAAGGAAGGAAGGAAGG